GAGGGGGATCCCCTAGTAGCCACCGTCCTCCGTGGGGGGGTCACGTCTGGAAATTCCCGATAGGTGTGTGGATTTGGGTGGAGAGGGGATGGGATACCGTGACGAGGGGTGGACATCTCCCCTCTTGCTCCGTGGTCCTGCGTGAGGTTAGGCCTCCCAGCTGGCAGCCCGTTCTTCATGCACTGTCTTGGTGTAAAAACGCACCGTTGTATAGTTTCATGCTAACTATATTATAATTTAGAGGATTTTTTTTTTAACGAAACAAAAAAAAATCCCTCACCTTTCATTCTGCCTTTTGATGTGTTTTCTGGTTCCTGTTCGCAGAGTACCGTCCACGATTTGACAGTCCACCGTGCAACTCCAGAGGATATTGTAAGTTTAATAGCAGTCACTGCTCCTTCTCCATAGTAAGGAGATTTAGCTGGTTTTCTAGTGTATTTACCGTACTTAGGGGGATATTTTCTGCCAGTGATTAATCTTTTTTAATTTATGAAAAGATTGTCTCTTTAGTATTCTTTGTTTATAGTATCATGCCACCCCAGCTCTAGGAGCTGGGATCTGATCCCTCCGCTGGAAATGCAGGATGATAGAATTACAGAATGGTTTGGGCTGGAAGGGACCTTAAAGCCCATCCAGTTCCAACCCCCCTGCCATGGGCAGGGTCCCCTTCCACTAGACCAGGTTGCTCAAAGCCTCATCCAGCCTGGCCTTGAACACTTCCAGGGATGGGGCATCTACAGCTTCTCTGGGCAACCTGTCCCCGAGCCTCACCACCCTCTCTGGGAAGAATTTCTTCCTGATATCCAATCTAAACCTCCCCACTTTCAATTTAAACCCGTTCCCCCTTGTCCTGTCACTACAGGCCCTTATAAAAAGTCCCCCCCAGCTTCCTTGTAGCCCCTTCAGGCACTGGAAGGTGCTATACGGTCTCCCTGGAGCCTTCCCTTCTCCAGGCTGAACACCCCCAACTCTCCCAGCCTGTCCCTGTGGCAGAGGGGCTCCAGCCCCCGGAGCATCTCCGTGGCCTCCTCTGGACTTGCCTCAACGTGTTCATGCCCTTCTTATGTTGGGGCCCCCAGAGCTGGATGCAGAACTACAGGTGGGGTCTCACCAGCGCAGAGTAGATCTATTTATCTCTCTCTATATAACAATGCTATCTGTATCTCATTGTTAGAAGAGGCAGGAGAGTATCTCTGGTGACTGACTAGTGTTAAATCAGGAAAACGCATTCTGTCTTTTCATGCCTGTTGTAGGTGGTACTGTTTATTTTTTTTCCTCCCTCTACATCTGAGAAAACTCTTACTGAGTCAGTGATGTAGGGCAGGTGAAAACGGAGACTTTCCTTATTCACCTTTGGAGACACTTCAAATTGGGCTGCTGTTGATGGCATTTTACACTTCTGGATGTTCGTGGGGCTGTCATTGGTACTGCCATGAAGTTAACGTGAATGGTACGCAGTGCGTGACCGATAAAATCAAGGAGAGCTTGTTGGCATCACCCTGCAAACACTGCTTTAGATCGTCCCTTGATTTTTAAAGAGGCTTCTTCTGCGTTTCCGTAGCTACGTCGCCGTGAAATACACAGATCAAAAAACAAAGCGCTGGCACATCTGGAGCTACAAGAGAAAGCACTGAAAAGAAAATGGAAGAAGCAAAAACAACTGGCTGGTGACTCCTTGGAGAAAAGGAAACTGACTCTGATGCGTGAGGTGAGAGCTAAATCTGCACTTGTAGCCTGCTGCAGGTGACACTCAGTGGTAGCGGAGAACTGCTCGTGCACATAGGTCAACGTTTGCTCCTCTTTTTGGGTAACCTGACTTTGTGTATGTGTAGGCTCTCCCTCCTGTGCGCGCTGCATGCGTGCAGTAGTGGGAATAGGCAGTATGACATACTACCTGATGCATGCAGTTGTGCGTTTGATCCTTGTTGCTGGGCCGTGCCCTCTAATTCTGCAGGCTGCTTTGCGTCTGAACAGGGACAGTTGGCAGAGCTAAACTGTGTGTTGTGAAAAGGATGTGTATTCTTTGTGTTCTTACTGCTAACTTGCCTTCTCCTCCCTCTGTCTAGTATTTTTCTTTGATGGAAATGGGAATATTTCCCTTTCTGAGAGGGGCACCTACATCTGCCGTTGCTTCTTTAACCAGAGAAAATGCAGAGTTCCAGAGTCAGAAAGGGTGAGGCAAGAAATTGGTAAGGAATTCCTCGTCTGGAAGGAAAATTGACGCAACAAAAGTTGAGGAGCCGTGGCTGCTAGCAGACAAACTTGTCATCTGGGAGTCAAAACGCTTGTTCTCTAGGCATTCTGAAGAACTCTGACTGCATGTATTAATATAATTTAATTTGCTTTTGAGTTTCAAATTGTAGCAGCAAAACTAAGCCTAGCTAACACAGACAGTAGCTGTCCCCATCCGAAAAGGGATTGCAGTGGTAGCCATCCTTTTGTTTCACACGGCAGGTGACTCCTTGCCGTGCGATGTTAAGAAAACTGATCTCAAATCAGTCCTTAGCTTTCAGACCTCATCAGCACTTGGGCAAACTAGGAATTATTCTTGTCGGTAAAGAATGATGATGAACAGTGCTCAGGTAGCAGTTAAAATAAACGTGATTTAGTAGTGCTGTAAACGTGCAGTGGAGTGACCATCACAGACCTCTCAGCTCTTTTGTAAACTTTCAGAAGTCTTTCTGTGATCTCTGAACGTTTGAGCATAGACAGAAACAAATGAAAACGCGTAGGAAACTGGAAGGTGATCTTTAATTCTCTTTGACATCTGCTTCTCTGCAATCACAGCAGAATTTTTGTGCTAATCAAGCCCTGCACTTTAATTTTGACCTCTGTTGCTTTCATACTTTTCTGCCAAGTGCATCCGGAAAAACTGTGGACTTTAGTGCAGATTTCCCGAACGTGACAGTAGGCTAATTTCAGTAAGCCTTCCATGCAGAAATAAATGATGTATCACAAAGGTAGTTTAGACCACCCTCGAAGGTTTGGTGTGACTACCTGTTATGCGCCTCCGTTACTTTGCGGATGTGAAACTCACCGTTAGGAAATACTCTTCTGTATTTCTTGCCATCACTCCTGGCAGTGCCCGTGAAATTTGCGCATCAAAGTTACTCCTTCCGAGTAGCTGTCCCCGTCATATTTAAGAGGCGACTTTATTCATTGTACTCTGTGTCTACTTCTGAATGGGAGAAAAAATGCTTTCAGATAGAAATTAGAAGAAGATAGTGTGAGGCGATATTAAACCTACCTGGCTGTTGCTGTTTGAAACCTGGCATCCCTTTGTGTGTAGGGGGAAAAAATAGATGGAGGAGACTCAGCATTTTCTCCTGTCCCTAGCTTCAATCTTGTTAGTTGCTAGGACCTGTTGTTCAGGGTAACTGGGAGACTCTTCAGTCTGTGTCTCCCAGTAGAGCACAACCACTGTGGATTGTCTCGTCGTCTTGGTGATCTTTTTTCCTTTGCTGCTGTGAGTGTATCTTCCTAAGCCCCTTGGATCCTACTCAACTGCCAGAGATTCAGAGATAAGAACTAAGGCGATGCTGCTAGTGGTGTGGGTTGTTTGGGGTGTTTTTTTTTTTTTTTTTTAGCTGTGGGTTGAAGAGAAAGAGAGCAAAAGTTACAAAATGAATAAGCAAAATTTTGATATTTAGGGGATTTGTCTGCATAAAAATCTGAATGAAAAAATAATATGAGTACGTCTCTGTAACTGTGGATTGTGAGTGTGTAGGTACCACGCTGATTGATCCTATAACAGCTTATTTTAAGAATAATGTTTGTGTATTGCACTGAAGGGTAGGTGGTGAATGGATTATCATAGCTGGGAGATTTTAGGATTAGTCCAGTATAATTATCTTTAGTAAGAGTCTGAAACAAGAGGGAAGGTGAATTTTCCAACGGCTAAATGGAAAGATTTAGTCAGTATCAAGTGTGAAAACAGCGTAGTGATTTGGAAAAGTAGATACATGAGGTGATGGGAAGACGAATGTTCGCTGATGTGCTAAATTGGTTATGAGGAGAAGTGTAATATATTGCATTGTAATTCACGCTCAAAAGACGAGAGAGACATGGAAACTAGTCTGTCTGAGACGACAAAAAACCAGTGTGCGTCCTCAAATCATGTGAATTGCCAGATTCTTTGTTTTGCTGAGTGTGTCAAACACCCAGCTTTTTGTAGTGTCGGGCTGGGAGCAGGAGAAGGGAGCGAGAGGATTTGCTCTCATGAGAAAGAGTCAGTGCTGCATTTTTTAGAAAAACAAGGTTCTAGTCACTCAGAATGAAGCGTGGGTTTCTCATCTATCTTAATTAGGAGCTAATTTCACAGCACCAGCTTGGCAAACATTGGTCTTGTTGGCTGTTCTCTTGCTGGCTGTTTAGAAGAACAGCACCAAAAAAACAAAGGAAAAATCCGTCTGCTCCGTATGAAATATTTCCTTCTCTGCTCTGCTTTCAGATTCTGACTGATCAATATCATTTGCAAGATGTGTTGCAACGCTCTGATCAGGTCATGGCTGTGGCAAAAGACCTGCTTGGGGATGCCCCTCGCACGCGAACAGGTAGACTCTCTCGTTTCCGTGCGGTAGTGCCCGTAAGGTCATCTCCCTGCTTTTCACAGGTAGCCTCACTTTGCAAAGTATTCCTTTTAACCGTTTTCATCCTCTAACGTGGTATGATTGATCCCACTCACGCTGGATGAATCACAGAGTCACAGAATGGTTTGGGTTGGAAGGGACCCTAAAGCCCATCCAGTTCCAACCCCCCTGCCATGGGCAGGGACACCTTCCACTAGACCAGGTTGCTCCAAGCCTCATCCAGCCTGGCCTTGGGCACTTCCAGGGATGGGGCATCCACAGCTTCTCTGGGCAACCTGTCCCAGTGCCTCACCACCCTCTGCGGGAAGAATTTCTTCCTGATATCCCATCTAAACCTCCCCACTTTCAATTTAAACCCGTTACCCCTTGTCCTGTCACTACAGGCCCTTGTAAAAAGTCCCCTCCAGCCTCCTTGTAGGCCTAGATGAGAATCCCCTGGCAGGGGAGAGCGAGCCGTGGCTGGTCATTCTCCTGTATCAGTCCATTGCGGAATTTCGTACTGCTCCCTGTGAAACGCCTCGGGCTCCCCGTTTCCACAGCCAAACTACCAGCCACTACAGCAAGCGCCAGTTTGAGCTGCTGGCGTAGCTGTGATTCTCGCCGCTGCGTGGGTCGGCTGCTTGCTCTTGGACATTGTTGCTAAATCAGCAGCAATTTTGTGCACAAGGTTTTTCCTTTCCTTACCCTGGTTTGTGGGTCCTTAAGCTGCTGAAAGGCAGGATTGGCTTTGCGTGCGACACCTTGAGCTTAGGTTCTTTTCTATGTAGGCTGCCCTTCTCTTTTGCTTATAATGACCGTTTCAGCCTATGCGCTGCTCCTGCACGAGTGCATTTATGCAGGTGAAGGGACGAAAGCCGAGCTCGTGGCTGAACATACGAAGGATAACTCTGTGACAGCGACCTACGCCCCTGTGGTGCGAAGTACGGGGACATGCCTTGTGGCAGAAAATCCTGTGACGTGGCACGGACAGAGTCCTCTGTCTTTTGTCCGATCCCTTTAGGTTTCCCTAATGTAACAATGGCTCCTCACTGTGACCTAGCATCATCTCAAGGACCCGTTGTACAAAGATGTGATCCTCCTGCTCAGCTTTCCATCCTTCATGAATCTGGCATGGATTCCCAGGTAACGTTTGTTCTGCTTCGCGCCTCTCCTGTGGCTTTTTTGTTTGTACAGAATAAGAATATTCAAAGGTAGAGTTTCTAAACCTGTTTGTGTGTTGTGTATCACGTTGATCACGTGCATGGAAGATGGTATTAGATGGAGGGGAGGTTGTTAGATTTGGGAATCATGTTTTTTGATTTCTTAACCTCTGAGTATGAGAAGCATCTTTATGTCTCATAGATGCTCTCTCATATTAGCATGCTCTCCCTTTTAAATTCTGGAAGTATCAGTAAGACAACAGAGTAATGACAGACTAAGAAAACCACTCTCGTGTCACTTGACTAATTGCTAGGTATTGCCGTACGCCTCAGACTTCCTACTTATGTTTGCCTACGTGGGGACATAGCCAGTTGGGCTCCAATTAATTTCTGATAACACACATGTAAATATACCCTAATTAACTCCATAGGCTTGATTTAGTCCTGCAAGTTTAACTCTTAATACTTCACATTCTTTTACAATTATTTAGATTTGTTTAAAAAGATCTAAAAAAATGTTTAAAATTTGTTTAAAATTTTGCTTGGATTGCCTGTGCGTTCGTTTTCCTTTTCAATAACGTGAGTTGTGCGAGGAACACTTGCTGTGGTTTGGGAACAGGCGTACGGCCCACCCAGAAAGCAGCTCACTGAAGACCAAAAGGGCTGTGGGAATGAGTGATGAGGTCATGTTCTCACAGTTCTCTAATCCTGTCTCCCACTACCTTGCACAAACACCTGTAATTTGAGTTGCAGTACTGCTCTGTCGTGTATTTTGTTGTGGTACTTGTGTTGTGGGGTTGTTTGTTTTTTGGTTTTTTTTTTTTTTTAATATGGAGAGTTACCTGCAGCAGCTTCGTAAGCTGTACCCCTGGGTTTCTAAAAGAAGCTCGTACTGAGAGTTGTCTGCTGAGCTTCTGTGAGATTTCCTTACGTGCCTATGAAAATCCTACTTAAAGGCTGTCAGCTGTAGCCTACCCTTTCAGTAGCTTGAGGAATCCTAATTCCAAGTTTGATTGCTGAAGTCTGGCTGTGAATGTGGTACGTAGGGTTGTCTTTTGTTCTGGCTGCACTTTACACACAGAACGTAAATGCAGTTTTGCAGATCTTGTTTACGAGGTTGTTTTGCTTGTAATGTCAAATGGCTGGAATTTTAGAAATGCTGTGCTTTAGGTTGTTTTTTCAATCTCCTGCCTGCTATATCTCTGTATTTGTTTTGGTAGAGTCTTTATAAATCATCCAAATAAAGTATTGGATATTGAATTAATCACTTGCTGTGTTACTTCTGGAGACAATTGTCAGTATTTCTTAGGTATTGAAGTCTTCCAGAACTCTTCCCACAGAGGTGTGTGCTTGTCTGTCTGTCTTTCTACTGAAACAATTGGGTTTGGGATTTTTTTTTTTTTCTTGAAACAGCTTCAGAAAATTGCTCTTTAACTTCTGCCAAAAGACAAATCAAAATTGTCTGAAGTCCCTTTTTATTTTCTTCATTGTCTCCTAAAAAGGCCCTTAATGAAATGGAAGAACGAACGTTACCAATCTATCAACAGGAAGATGGACACAGTGACTCTCCAAATTTCAAATCCAGCATCAGTCCTGGCAGGTCAGTACCAATATACCCATTCAGGTTTCCACCTTCTTAACTCTGGAAATAGATGGAGTTGAAGGGGTGTTGCAAGGGTACAGTTCAGTTACCTTTTTCGTTTCACAGCCCCCACCTTCTTTTCCTGGCACCAGAATTCTTGGGAAACCTCTTGTTGTGGCGTTCAGACTGGGAATGAATGTGAGCAGGGAAGTGACCTGAGCAGTTGTAGGTGTTTTTAAAAAGCCCTTTCTGGAGTACACGGATAACCTAGGGTCATGCTATTATCCCAGTACAGCTCACTGTTACGCTTGTTTTGAACGTAGGCTACTTCGGTTATTGAGAGAAGAAAATTCCTTGGTGAATTCTAAGCTGTGGGCTGAAAAGGATATGAGGAAAACTACCGTGTCAGAGGAATCAAATGTGCCTTTGACTCCACCAACTGTTTCTCCATCATTGGATCAGTCAGGTTGGATTTCCCAAATCCCAGCTTCTCAAGGGTGGTTTGGCTGTTTGCCGGATGCTGTCTGGAATTCCTTTTCTGGGTGGGGGTGAGACAGATGTGCTGATTCGGCTCAAATGAATTTCCAGACTAAAAAGCCATCTCTTCTAATAAAATAACTTTATAACATGTCACTACTAAGAACCTCTCTGAAATATTTCACATGTGTATTTGTTGTTTTGTGTTTAAATCAGCCCTCAATGCTACCAGTGTAGTCAAGAGAATCCGTTCACGACTTCAGGATGCAGACGAAGAAGAGGCTGCAGACTCCAGTTACACTGTGAGACGAGTGCTGAACCCCTGCTCAAGGAAACAAAAGCAGATTGCAGCAAAAGGTTTAGTACTTTTTTTTTTTAAAAAAAAAAACCCCATACCTCCCTTTGACCAAGGTCCTTGATATCATAAGAAAACATAGGTTGAAAGGGATCTTTGGAAGTCGTTGCAGGGCTGACTCCGAAGTTTGATTAGGGAGGGCTTAGTCTTGAGCATCTCTAAGGACAGACATTGCACAGCCCCTTGTGTGCTGTATTTCCCTGTGTTCTGCGTGTCCCTTGGTGAAGCAAAGCCCATAGCAATCCAGGAATTGTAAATATGGCCCTTTGATGCTACCTCTTACCTCCCTAGCCATTCAGTTCTCTCCTGTGTGGGGCTTTTCCGTGTCTGAAACAGCTTTCTGTGTGATGCCGCACAGACTCGAGGTGCATTTCAGTCCCCATATTCCACACCCGTTTGTAGGTGGGGACTGACATCGGATCCAAACTAACGTAAAAGGGTTGCTCCCTAAGTGTGAGACCTGGAAGCTGCTGGTATTTTTCCCTGGCTGTTTACTGGGAAACTGTTCCCATGCTTTTAACTGAGAAGGAGGAAAGTATAAACAGGTATCTGAGATAAAAGCACCAAACAGTCATATTTGAGTGGTACTAATGTGGTGGCAGAAAATACGTGTTTTGATGATCTGAAAATAACTGGAGTGACTGGGAATGTTCTTTGATGGTCCATCTCAGCTCAGGGCGAGAGTGTGTCTGTCCTTTGATTTACTTCAATAAACCAGGTAATTTCATTGGCAGTGCAAAGCTGAAATTCCAATGACCCCTTCCCTCTCCCTCCCCTCAGTGAAAAGAAAACAAACTGCACAAAACTCTGCAAGACAGGGGAGAGATGATTCTCTAGCTAATTCAATCCCCGCTGAGCTTCGGAAGGACGACGAGTCCAGCCTAGATGTTCTGAACCGCATGATACGTGAAGTGGAGCGTGAATTAGAGGCGTACGAGCGATGTACAGGTCGTGAGGTTCAGAAAACTGAGAGGAGTGAAGGCCTCACCGGGTTTACCTTGTCACTGGTGAACGCTCTCTGTCGTTTGATGCGCTGCCTCAGAGAGGTGAGAAGGCTCTGAATTACTTCTGTAGAGGGAATAAAAAGGGTTTAAGGTTACAATACGGATGTGAACTTTGATCTTGCCTGGCTGCCGATCACTTTGCAGTCTGTTATTTTTCTGATTGCTTATTATGAAGTCACTGCTCGTCGTTTGAATTGCTTGCAGTCAGGAGTTAAAACTGGGTTTGCCGGAAGCAGGTATCCTGAGTGAAAAGAGAGGTGCTGACTGCAATGAAAGTCTCTTAGGGGCTACTAGCAGAAAATACCCACTGAAATGGCTTAAAATTTGTTCAGTACATTCAGAGTTGTGGTGGGGTATTAACTACAGCCCTGCTTACAGCTTCGTTTTCTTCCTTTGCCTCCCAAAGGCGATGCTGCTGTCACCGGAGCAGTGGACCCAAATCCTCAGTTTTCTTGGAGGGATTCCTTAGCTCTCTTTCTATCCATAGCAGCAACTTTGCCTGAAGTACTCACTAGAGCAGTGTGCATCTGGGGATCAGTGGAATTCCATAAGGAAGACGACCTTTAAGCCACTTATTTAAAAAAAAAAAAAAAAAGATAATTAAGAGATTGTGTGATTTCATCTCTGGCCCAGAGTTATTCAAGATGCAGCAGTGGCACACAGGTTCAGCGGGCCTGCATAAAACTGTACACCAGATTGTGGCAGTTCCTGCACTCTTAGACAACATCCTCTGCTGCATCTATTAAAATCCCAATGCTGTACTTCATAGGAAAAGATGTGAAAGGATTGCTGATGAATGTGGAATGGTCCTATTTTGGTTCCTTTTCAGGGTATAATAATTCAGGAGGGGGCAGGGGAAAACCTACCTTATTTGAAACTTTGCATTACTTTTTTCTTCCTGGATGTGTAACAACTTCTTCCTTGTATTATCCTGTATTTAATCTGTAAGGAAGAATTTACTTTGATAAGGACTTGTCTCGGAAGCAAACGGTAAATAATCAGTTCAAGAGTGAAAAGCCCCTGCCATCAGAAGATGGAATTTGGCAGAGAAGGCTGCCTGTTTTAAAGGAAGTTAAGAACACTTGTTCTCTGTTAAAGTTGTAATACCAAAGCAGGGTGTTAGATTTGGTTCTTTTGCAGTTAGGAGGAAGGATCTTCTGGACTTCCAATAGAATGTTTTCCATTTATTAAGAAAACATCAATTTAATAGCATCAAATTAATATTACAATTGCAGTTCTTAGACTGTCCTTAATTTGTGTTCCACAGAAATGAGTTACTCTTGACCCTTGGGCTTCCTCCAAAACTATTGCAGGTTTTCTGTATCACTTTTATTTTTTCCTGTCATAGTTGCTGCTCTTTATGAATGAAACATTCGGTGTACCTTAAGAGCTTTTATCCTGTTCAGGCAGGTGGCCAAGGAGTCAGTGTTGAAGGAGGCTACTTGTTTTGAAGGCTGTATGCTGACTCTTACTTGTATTCCCCATTTCTACTGAGCACCTCTGTGATGTTTCTACTTTAATAGATGTGTTACCCTTCGTTCCTTCCAGGAGCTGATTCTTGCTTTCAGAATTGCCTGCAGCTTTTTAACATTTACTGCCTGAATTTGTGAGTAGAAATAGGCAGAAGTGGCTCAAGCTACAAAGTGTGGTTAGTCGTAGTCAGAGTTCCTCGAGGTGGCCAGAGCGCATTTGTAATCTCCGGCGACTTTTCAGTTTTTCATGGGTCTTTAATTACAATTAGGATTTGAGAATTCGCTGGCAGCTTGTCGGAGTATTTTTCTTAAAACCTGGACCCTGTGATGCTGGGAATAAATCAGGAATTGCATCTGGCAGTGCATTTCAAGGAAGTGACTTTGCAGTGGATATTTAAAAAGCCTCTGATTTCAGGGAAACAACCAGTCTTCAAGAGGTTTTGAAGCTTTTAGTAAGATTTCCTTCCTATTCTGGGGAGAAAAAAATACTTTCCAGCTTTGCTGCAGAAAAGCTGAATGCAGAAGAATTGCAAGAATGTTGCTTAATTTATTCTCAAAATTGCCTATAAGAAATATGAAGAGAAACTTGAATTACTGAATCTTTCATGAAATGTGTATTAATAAGTGATTAAAAAATCAACTGCAAGAAGCAGCTTGTGATTATAGAAGAGGTTGGAGAGAAGGGGGGAAAGAAACTTCTGAAATGTTAGCCAGGCTATATGAAGATCGCACAGATTCCCAGTGTGAGAGGGGCTGGAAGGAACCTCTAGAGACCATCTAGTCCAACCTCCCTGCCAGAGCAGGATCCCCTAGAGCAGATCACACAGGAACAAGTCCAGGCGGCTTTGGAAAGTCTCCAGGGAAGGAGACTCCACCCCCTCTCTGGGCAGCCTGTTCAGTGCTCTGTCACCCTCACAGGGAAGAACGGTTTCCTCATGGTCAGGTTGAACCTGTTGTGCTCCAGTTTATGGCCGTTGCCCCTGTCCTGTCACTGGACACCAATCCTTAAAGGGAAGTGGATGAACCTGTCTTGGTTCCTAAATGTATTTCAACGTTATCTTCCAAATGTTCAAATTATTTTTTTCCCTGTTCTATTAAGAATGCTGTTTCTTTGCAAGTCTCCCACAGCAAAAAGTTAGAGTATATGCATACTACATCAATCTGTGTTGTGCTCTCTGTATCCGCTTCTGCTTATTCAGATGTGGTGTTAAAATAGAGCTTATGAGGTCTGAGGTACACCTGGCAAGGGGCTGGAATGAAGATACCGCTTTTGGGCTATACCAGACCCAAATAATAGAATCACAGCATGGTAGGGTTGGAAGGGACCTTAAAGATCATCTAGTTCCAACCCCCCTGCCATGGGCAGGGACACCTTCCACTAGACCAGGTTGCTCCAAGCCTCATCCAGCCTGACCTTGGACACTTCCAGGGATGGGGCATCCACAGCTTCTCTGGGCAACCTGTCCCAGTGCCTCCGCACCCTCTCCGGGAAGAACTTCTTCCTGATAGCCAATCTAAATCTCCCCTCTTTCCATTGAAACCCGTTACCCCTCTCCTGTATGCTGCTGTTAACCCTAACCCTCTCACCGTGCATCAGTGTAAGACACACAGCTGCTTGGAATCTTTTCCTCCAGGACTAGGTTAACACTGTGTAGGATGAGGAGCCAGAATAGCTTGTCCAGATGCTCTAGGGTATCAATAGGCTTCATCACTGCTATGAGGTGTAAGTTTTTGTTTCGTGCTCTCTTTGGTTTCTAAAAATGCAGGGCCATCTACCTTTTTTTTCCATTTCCCGTGCCAGCCTGCTTGGCTTGGATCAACACAGAAAAGCTGTGTCTGGCTGGAAGAGAACCAGAACATGGATGGCGTGTCTGTGGTAGGCTTAGAGGAGAGATAGCTGCTTGTCTTAGATACTGTCACTAGACACCGTGATTTGTTATCAGAAATATTTATTCATTCACTTTATGTGGCTGCAGAGCTGTTCGGTCTTAATGCTTCTTCCTGGGTGGTTTTTCACTTCCGCTCCCGGTGCCGCCAGTAAATCATCTCGGGTGTGCAACAGGCAGCTCCTGCTCTAATGGCCTGTCTGCAGCCGCAGAGAGCATCCCAGTTCCTTTTCGGGCTCTCTTGGCCTTTGGAGATGGGATGTATTATTCAGGGAACCCTTTGAGTGAATGCAGGTGAGCGTGTGGGGAAGGGCTCCGTCTGCTAGTTCTCACCTGTGTGTGACTTCAGCTTCCACTCCTTTAGCTACAGTGGTCCAGAGAGTGGCAGTTGTGAATTCTGTTTACCCATTAGAGGTGGAAGAGGCTCTTTTGTGTCTTGTAGCCAGGCTTCCTGTTCTGCAGTGGTCTGTCTTAAAGCGATAGGCACTGGAACAGGTTGCCCAGAGAAGCTGTGGATGCCCCATCCCTGGAAGTGTCCAAGGCCAGGCTGGATGAGGCTTGGAGCAACCTGGTCTAGTGGAAGGTGTCCCTGCCCATGGCAGGGGGGTTGGAACTGGATGACCTTTAAGGTCCCTTCCAATCCAAACCTTTCTGTGATTCTATGATAGATGGATAATTCTTTTTGAGGTCAAGAGGTTCTTTACAGTAAGGTCTTTTAACTACTTGAGCATGAGACAACAAATAAACCTTTCCGTCTTCCTCAAGAAAAGAAACGAAACCCTGTAGAACTTTTTACCTCTCTGAGAGAAAACATTAGGAAACAAGTATTTTCATTATTTAGTCAAATTTGTCTGCATTAACGAACTGAGGAAGCTGAAGAGTAGGCACAAGTAGCACAGGGTAGTGACGAGCATCAGCACCTCGAGTTACTCTATGGTTAAGTGAAGATTCAGTGACGTAGAAGCCGGTTTGCATGCAGGGAGACAGTGCTTGTAGTTACGGCCTGTAGTTACCAGTTTTAGAGGCGGAAGAAGAGGGATGCGTAGGATTCCCTACGGTGTTCTGGAATAACAAAGAAGGAACGGTAAGCCTGCTGACAGTTCTCAAGTCCTGAAAATTGGATTTTTGTTGTGAAGGTAACGAAGTCAATTTAGCAGTAGTGGGAGGAGCTCTTACAGTGTGATGTCATGTGGTGCCAGTCCCAAATATGAATCTGATTTGCTTTATAGCAGGCTTTTAACTTTTTCTCCCACTTTAGAGTGAAATGCAGCTGCGTGAGACGGAGGCGATGAGGCAGCAGCATAAGGAGATGTTGAATGAACACAGAGAACTGATTGATGCCCTGACTGCAGAAATACTTCTTGTGAGGGAAGAAAACGTTGCTATGCAGGTACTGAGCTCCCCCCTCGCTCCTTACCCGTCAGGGTGACTTCTTAGCATACTGAGTTGTCTCACAAATGTGTCTCAGTGTTCAAGAGGTTGTAACAATAGGCAAAAAGAACATTATGAAATCGAATGAGGAGCCTAAGAACTGCAGTAGGTATGAGGTGAGGGGAAGGAATGTTTGGAAAGGCATTGTTTTATTTTCATTTATGCTGTTTAAAGCCTGTGAAAACGTTAGTTCTGTGCAACTGAGCTTTACTTTATCAGTTTAAAAGTTCCTTCCTCCACGCTTCTATACTGTTTGTAGCGCTGGAGCAACAGACCACTATTTTTTTCTCTTCAGTTTGCAGTTCTGGTGGATTTGTTTAATGGTTACATTTGGGAATAAAGCAACCTTGAAGAGGAAGTGGGGCTGTGAGTTAGGAAAAGGAAAAACAAATACTTTATTTGAGGTAGGAGAGGAAATAAAGGAGGAACATTGGAGACATTACTACTCAATACCTCACTGGAATCCTACAGATTCATGCAGTGGTATTAAGATGCCAAATTTCTTCTCAGGGCTGCTTGTGGTATGTAATTTTCTAACTCACGTTGCTATAATACAGATCTATGTGTATCTCTCTTTTTTTCCTTCTTCCTTCAGAAGAAGCTTGAGCAGTACATGACAGCAACAGATGAACAGCTGGTCTCTCTCACACAAGCATTTAAAGGCCTCCCTTTGGTAGACCCTAGAAGAGAACAAAGCCCAAACCATTTTGGAATCACAAGCAAAGGTCCAGCGAACAGCCAAGGTGCGTGAAGGATGAAACAGGAGTGAGTTGTGGCTAGTTTATCCCTGAAGTGGAAAACCTGGCATTTAACAGATGTCTGCTTGAATAAATACCTCTTGCACGAGTGTGAATCTCGCTTGTGGAAATTCCTATGCGATGGGCTCTGCGGTGAGCACAAGCGCTTTGCTGCAGATTATTTTTTTAGCAGTACTGTAGGTTGTACTCCATCCCCACTGGCATCTTTGTCTGGATCAGGAGTCTGAGATTAACCTTCTATCCAAGTCCTGGGCTTGAGCTTTAAGTGATACATAATATATTATTTAGAAAAAGGGAGGGGAGTAGCCTTCCCCCATTAAGATGGCTTACAAAGTCATTTTTTTTCTGAGGGTCCAAAAAATAAAAAATCCCCCCAAAACCCGACTGAATCAGGATCTCTCCTCTCTTGCTGAGGCAGCCTGACCCTGTGAGATTGGTTTTTCCACTCCTCCACAAGACGCTGGAGGTCGCTGCTGACCAGAAACAGCTGCTGAAGCCTGTGAACTCTCCCGGCAGACGGCCGTTCCTTGGTGTTTGTGAACGTGTCGGGGTGAAGGAGCAGGGGGAGATGTACCACACACCCAAAGTTAAGCCAGTAGGTGGTTGGTGGCCCAACCAACCAAACTTGATTCACCTCGTACTTCTAACGTTCCTTCACCACGGAGTTTTCTCCCGTCTCCCCTGAGTGGTGGTTTAAATGCCTTGGTTTTGCTCTCAAGGTCAGTAACTCCTTGTGAAAGCGAGATTCCTTGGAGCTATTTGGATTCCTTAGTTAAATGTTGGTTTTGTGGTCATTGTTGTGGGCAAAAACTTTCTTCTTGACTGTTTCTGTGGAGCTGTCAGGAAGAAGCCACATACCAGATCCCTGTAAAAGCAAACAAAAAATCCCACCCCAAAACATAAAGCGTGAACAATCACAAAAGTGCCCTCAAAACCAAAACCAAACAAAAACCACCAAAGCAAACAGACAAAAAAAAACCCCAAACCTACATATTCAACAATTCTGTAGGACTAGAATTTCCAGATCTTCTTTTCTTATTGATCTCCCTTCTCAGGAAAATGCCTTTTCCTGAGAGAAAAGCTTCCTAAAGTCACAAAACCACTTCCTCCTCCTCCATTAGGAAATCCTTTCTACCCTTAAGGCATCTGACTGGATGTGGAATGCTTGAGGTGGCTAGTTTTAGCAGGGAAACTGCGGGTGAGTTAATGCAGGACTGCTCGGGAGAGAGGAAGAGTGTCTGAGGGGGGTTGCAGGGGGGATATTGTGGTGACAAATAGCACGTGAGGAGGATACTTTCTCCTTTCTTGCCAGGGTCATTGAATAGCGGGTGGCAGGTTTTAAATTCAGTCTTGGAATCTCAGTAATGTGAACCAGAGGCAATATTTTATGGGAACAGCTGCTTCTGGCTCTGTGCTTTTTGAAGGGTCCTTTTTGGCTCTTGCATTTTGGGATCAGAGATGTTCTGCTCATTTTTCCTGAACATAAGAGTTCCCATTGAGATTTTTCTCTATATTCCTATTCCCCCCCCCCCCCTTTTTTTTTTTTTTTTTTTTTTAATTCTATCCCTGCTTTGTCTTTCTTTAGAAAAACCTGATTTGAGCTATTTTGAGCCCAGGACTGATGCAGCCAACAGGGAAGATATGCTGAAATTCCCACAGGAAGAGCTTCCTTTCAAGTTTCCTCTGAGGCCTGGTGCCTCGGGAGCCGGTAGAAGCTTGCCAGCCTACATCTTCCAGCCAGCTGTGCTGTTGTCACCTCCCCGGCAGAAGAGCAATCAGGAATTGTCTCTCCTCCGGAATGGTGAGATCCCTCTGGCTGCAGGAGACTTGGGAGTCTGTGTGGTGTGTTATTCTTCCAGTCTTCCAGGTTCACGGTACCATTGGAGATGAAAACTTTTACTCTCCGTGCCTAGACACCTTGGTCCTACAGCTGGAATATCCTGCTTCTGCACCCAGATAGGCATTTCTTTTCTTCCTGTGCCTGTTGTAAGATTTCCTTTAGGCTCTCTGTCCCCTGCAGTTCTCCATCTACTGTCTGCAGTGGGAATCCAGACTGGCATTTTTATCTTGTACTGTTTTTCATTGTCCCTTCTGTATGATTTGCTGCAGCAGTTTGTGACGTACAGCCCGTCATCTCAGATCTCCATCTGATGGTGGTGTAATCCGGCCTCCATCACCTTTAACGGTGGCTGAAGAAGTTTTGGGTGAGATTACACGGTGCTGGGTAATCAGATCAGCTCACTGATGTGAGTCAGTATCCACAGGCTTCAGGAGTTTCATAGGTCGGTAGCTCAGTTCTGGTCGTTGGGAAGAGGGATCAGGGATGATTTCGTCGTTCATCAGGGATGATTAGGGAAAGTATTTCTCATTTAAATGTCATGAAGTGAGCAAAAGAGACGATCCTCTGTGACTCCCAAAATTAGCTGTTTCCTCCTGCAACTGTCACTGTAACCACGTGCATCTTGCTGAGTGTGCTAGGCCCCTGCGACCCTCTGTTGTTGGGGGGCAGGCGGTTATGTCTGTGGCTAGCTTGATGGTTGCTGGCAGGAAGTAGGGCACGCTAGTGGGGTTTTGTGCCTTCCCTCCTCCTTTTAGCTTTGTTGGTAAGTCTTTTCCAAGTCAGGAAAATAACTCCAAAGTCCTTCTGATTTAAGGAGTTGGCAGGACAATTGAAAGTTTATGTCTAGTTTGAACTTTTTGGTGGTTATCTGTGCTGCAGGGGAGGCACACGGCAAAGCAGGAGGAGGTCGACTAAAGGTAGTGTTCTGCAAAGAACATCTGGCATCAGTGCCATTAAGAACTGCCAGATGCTGTCTGGCATTTGAAACGAGGATGTAAAACTCTAGTCCTAGACTCCACTATAGTTTAGCTGTGTGAGAAATGTATTATTCCTCTTTTAAGACTGTTAAGGATGCTGCATGGTTCAATAAACGTTAAATTTCTTGAATGTGTCTTTATGGAAAAAAAATTAATGAAACAGATTTATGTGTCAATTTTTAAATGCCATGCTCTGCTGAAGAGGTAAAAGCTAAAGCTTGGGAAGGAATGGGCTATTTGGTATATCAAGCATAGAAAAATCCGGGTTTGATCACAAAATCTTACTTAACACGTAGCAGCTGAGGGTGCTGTAATATATTTGGTCATGTGTGTGGTGTGTCATCTGTTTGCTAGTGATGACCACAAAAATACCTCCCTCCCTCTGTTGGCCAGAGTACTTCCCCTTTCTTAAGGATTGAGTAAATAGCTAGTTTATTATAGTTCTGTTATGCCAGAAGTCTTGTATTATTTTGTTGTTCTAAAAGTTTTTTACCATTGCCAGAAGTCTTGTATTATTTTGTTCTAAAAGTTTTTTACCACCCGGTATGAATATCAGAACTAAAACACAAAAAATAGAGCTTATTAGGTAACTAGATGGTGGAAAATGGAGCACTAAGTAGTGGTTGATCTATCAGCTAAGAAATTCACAACGATTTTAGCTACTTTTCTCCGACTTCTCTCTCAATTTCCAATTAAATCATGTAAATGTAAGACTCTCTGCAATAGGAAACATTAAACTTGGCGAGTTCTCGCAGCACGATCTTGCACAGAGTGATTCTGATAAGTAACGTTGCACGGTTCAGGCCAGATGTTACAATGCAAGTTCCTACTTGTTTACTACTAGCCTAATGCCGTAAAGTCACTGAGGATCACATCTCCTTCCTTACTGATCCTTTATTTCTTGTTTGCAGTGGTGACAGCCATTTCTCAGTCTCCTGAAAACACTGAGAGCGAGCCATGCAAGGAAAGGAGCTCACCTTCCTCCCTGAGAACACAGAGCACAACTGAGGAAAACGGGCTCATCTCTCAAAGGCAACCAGTTCCTCCTGCAGACAAAGACCTGGGGAGCTCCCATGGGAAAATCAGTCTGTCCTGCCCAGGTGACACCAGAAAAAACGTTACAGCCGAGGAGTTATTTCAAAACGGTGATCTGCTGGGACAGATAGCTGAGCTCACACGGCAGAACTCCCTAATTAAAGCTCAACTGAGCAAATTCAGAGCCTTGTCTGAATCGGACACAAGTGACTGCCTACCTCAGCCAGACCCAGTCCGAACTGCAAATCCTAGTCCAGACTCTTCACAAAGAGAGGTGAGACTTTAACAGCAAAGGAGGGCTGGATTCCCCTTTCTGCTGATCTGTTTTCCTATAGCTGACTGATGTTGTAAGTCTGCTTCTTCCCAGTTGCCAGTTGTTTAAGGAAAAGAGTAACAAAACAAATACTCTTTTCATTCAGTTTCATGGAGACTTTGGTGTTTATCATTCCCTAAGGAGCTCAACAGTAGTTTCTTATATTGGGCCTCTGTTGTGTATGAGTGCTGAAAAGTGTGCAGCACATTTAAGGTTATCCTGCAGAAAGAGGCCTGATTGCAACATGAACAGGGGTACCTCTTGTAGCTTGGGTAATACTAACAGTTGAAAGCACCGCACCGACCCACAGGGTCTTGTCAAGCTTGTAAAACACCTATTTAAACCCATGCCCAGCGAGAACTGGGAACGCAGCTGCAGGGTCAGAAGGGGAGAAAGACCTGGAATCTGGTGCAGGCATTGCCCAGCGAAAGCCGAGACCTGATCAGTGCTGCTCTCTGCATCCAGGAACAGCTTCCTAGCAGCCACGGTAAAGGGGGTTAACTCTTGCCTGGCTGAACCCAGCACATTGCAGGAAGACCAGTTTAAAATACTGTTGTGTTCAGTCAGTTAAGGACCCAGCTACAGGAGAGTAAAAGGGACAAACCTGATTTTTCCACAGGAGGTTCTATGTGACTGTTTACTTTCAGTGTGAAAATTAAATGTGTAGAAGCACTTGAAATAGATTGCATGCTCTCCCTGAAGGTGCAAATCCTAAGTTTTTAATTGGAAGTCATTATCCAATTATCCATGTAGACTCATCTCGCGGTGTCGAAGAGCTTGGAGGAAAGAATTGCGGAGCTGAATCGGCAGAGTACAGAAGCACGTGATAAACTGTTGCAGCTGATAGACCAGCAGAAAGCAGCTGCTGTCAATATGGTCCCCCCTACGGCATCTCCTGTTCTGCCCCCATCCCTCAATTATACTGGTAAGTACCAAGCTTTGGGAGAAACAGAAACCAGTAAGACAATTGCCAGAGGAGGCCACAGAGATGCTCCGAGGGCTGGAGCCCCTCTGCCATGGGGACAGGCTGGGGGAGTTGGGGTGTTCAGCCTGGAGAAGGGAAGGCTCCGGGGAGACCTTATAGCACCTTCCAGTGCCTGAAGGGGCTACAAGGGAGCTGGGGGGGGCTTTTTACAAGGGCCTGTAGTGACAGGACAAGGGGGAACGGGTTTAAATTGAAAGTGGGGAGGGTTAGATTGGATATCAGGAAGAAGTTCTTCCCGGAGAGGGTGGTGAAGCACTGGGACAGGTTGCCCAGAGAAGCTGTGGATGCCCCATCCCTGGAAGTGTCCAAGGCCAGGCTGGATGAGGCTTGGAGCAACCTGGTCTAGTGGAAGGTGTCCCTGCCCATGGCAGTGGGGTTGGAACTGGATGGGCTTTGAGGACCCTTCCAACCCAAACCATTCCATGATTCTGTGATGTTTTCCCCTTTTGGGAGCTGTCTGTCCTTACCTGATTGGATCAGCAGCTGTGGTCAGTGGTGCACTTGCTGTTAATGACTGTGTGGTACCAACTCTCCTTACTTCAGAGAGCTGAAAGTACCTCAGCTAAACTTGTGAAGTTAGCTGCTTAGTGTTCAGTCTCCTGCAAATACCATGCTTCGTGGATAAACCTGTTCTTTGCTGTCTCCTTGTCTGCAGAACATTTCTGCTACACACTCAGTGATGGGCAGAACTAGACTTTTCAATCAGTCCTCTCTGCTGGGGAATCTCTTCTAAAGATATGAAATATTTACATCAGGTTTCTAAAAATCCTGTCAGTCTCGTTAGCCAATTCTCAACCACATTTTAGTTATTGGTCTTTTGAGCGCTCTCTCCATCAGACTACCTTGCTGAGTTACTGCCAATGCTAATAGAAGGAAAGAACTAGAGCTTCCAGTCGTCTGAAGAGGTAAATTAGCGAAGGGAATACTCTTACTGACTCAAGATTCGTAGATTAGCTGCCACATTGAGCTGTGGACAGAAACCCTTCGCAGCAGGTGAGGGCTGCCCTGCCTTCCCACGGAGTTACTGCACTTACAGGCAGAACTGCGCGTCAGCACGTAGACGTGCTCTGCCTAGGACACCCCCGCTCTCAAGGAACACAGTAGAGAAACTGGAAGTCTCTAAGCCTCCGATTCCCAAAAGCCGGAGGGTTTATCCGTGGAGGAATCATTCTGTATCTGTGTGCGCCGTCCGTTGTTGCTCCAAGTATCTGCTTTCAGTATCTGTCATTTTCCAGTGGGTGTGGGGCTGAGCAGACCTTCAGCCTCGTGTTTTCCGTGCTCTGTGTATATTCCGCTCAGTTATGAGGAGTGATGTGATGTTTCCCAAAAAAACAGGAAAAGGCAATGGATGCTGTGAAATGTTGCTGTGTTCTCATCCGAATCAAGCTGTTATTTACTGCCTAGAAAATGCAAGGAGGACAGCAGAAGTGTCTCTTCCCGTGGCAGTTGCTATGGACAGCTCCAACGAAGACAGTGTTTCCCCTGCCAGTGTGACCAGTACGAGGAGGTAAGAGTTAACCCGTTACTCTTCCATCTTTATAGTATCTTGATTACCCCTGATGCAGAACTTGAACACCATGGAAAAATTGCCATGGTTTTCTTTGGCTTCATGGACTTACCCTGGCTTCCTCACGCTCCACTCCATGGAAATGGGGCCAGAAAAAAGCTCCATGGGAAAAAAAGCTATTGGGTCCAATAGCTTTTTCACAACTTCCATTGGTTGTATTTAAAATGCCTGCAGGGTGACGTAAGGCAGATGACATGGGCTGTTGAGGAGGGGTCCTAACGTAGGATCTGAGACCTAATCCTAGTAGTCACTTCCGTTCTTCACCTTTTCAATCTCACCTCTCCAGGTCCGTAGGCGACTCTAGCAAACCTTGCTCACCCCTAAGCTCCCTGTCAGAAAGTGTGAAACTAAATCCTGTCAGCCAAAGGCCAAAGGTAAGACTGGAACGTCTTCACCCGGGAAGTTCGATCGTGGTGCCGTAAAAGGCAAAACCGAGACAAACAAAGGGGGAGAGTTCTCCCCCGCCTGAAATCTGCTGAGGCGAATTCACTGCAGTTTGGATGCTGGGCAGTCGCTACGGGGACAGCTGAGTCCCGATGACGTTAGTTATTATTTACTAGTGAATAATCCGGTCACTACGTTTGCTGCTGCGGTGTCTTCCTGTGTTACAACTGGGAACCTCTGGCACCTTTTCACTGGTGGCTCCGGAGGATGCCAAGCGCGTGTCGTGATCTACCCGCGGCGCCGCGCAGGAGAGGCGCGCAGGCTCTCACCTGGCCCTTGCACGAGGCAGTTGCTGAGGGATAAGGAAATCCAAATGAAAAGAAGAGTCGCCAGGCGGGATTTCTGATTCCCGATGTGCAAAGAGAAGACCAGACCGCAGCCAGATGCTTCCCTGGGAACTCCGGGCTGTAGTACAGTCTAATTCTCCCTGTGTGCTTGAAAGCAGCTGTGAGGATAGTTACGCCGTCCTCCCTGATGTCCGGAGTAGCCTAGACTAGAGTGATAACGAGAAACCAGGCTAGGGTCCAAGACTCCCTACCCTGGCAGCGTCATATACATCCCCAGAGCGAAAATTTGGGATACTTAAGGTTAAACTAGGTGTCTAAGGTAGGTGGAGTGGCTACCCCCATCATGCCGATGGCGGATGGCTGCTGCGTGTTGGCGAACTGCTGCGTAGCAATCCTGCATCAGCCGGCGCTAATTAGCAGGAGACTTAAGCCGGGTGAATTTAATTTGGTTTCCTCTTTTGCAGGTGGAAAAGCAAAAAGGAGGCGGCTGGTTTGCACTGTCAACGCACGTCGTGTGAAGGAAGCCGCTCCCGAGTCCTGTATTTTTAAAAACTGTAATGAACCAAGATTAGACCCCAGTAGCCCCCCCTCTCCAGACGGACAGCGTGAGTCTGAAGTGCTTTCCCGACAGCCCGTTTTGGTTAAGGAAGGTCCATACACTGCGTTCGTGCCGTACAGGGCGCTGTAGGACTTCCCGGGACCGCGTGTCTGAGCTGGGCGTGCTCCTGCAAACGGATCTCTCGCAGGGTCGCCAACAGGCCGCCGTCCTAACGCGAGCGAGCGCGTGGTGGAGAGCGGCGTCGGGTATGCGGTGGGCAGCGGCTTTTCGGAAATGGGTGTGTTCACGCAGCGTATGGGAATGAGAAAAGATCAAGGAAGGCAAGCTGGGAGATGAGGAAGCCTGCCCGTTTCCTCCTGCTGTGGTTTACACGTGCTCCCTGGAGTTGTGTTGTCTGTGCAGTCACCGTGTCGGGGATTACATCTGCACTTGAGGACCGCTTTTTGAAAGCCTCCCGTGGTATTTTTATAGTAGATATGGAGCGACTGATACAACAGAAGGCGGAGGTAGAAGAGCACTCGCCTTAAGCTGTTTGTTAGGGGGGTGTATGTAGTGCTACCGACTGGTTTTGTGTTGGTTTGCTTTGACTTCTCAAAGTGGCCGTCCTTTTATTACTAGAAATCAACATTAAAACCTGGGGCTGGGAGGAAATGCTTAATTCCTGTTCCTTACGCTGTAGGAGACCTGGGCAAACACCTTGATAATGGGGGTTTAAAGGGGGAGATTCCCCTCCCTGTTTTCCTTTCTGAAGGGAGTGGGGGTGGTGTGGTGTTTTCCTTTTAAATGGATTTAGAAAAATCTAAAACCACGTGGGATTCAAAAGGCGACCTGTTCTAATGGTCAGTGGCGTTTCCGCCGTTCACTTTTCCAGTCTTCACTTGGGGACGTGAAGGCGGCCCCCCGCCTGCACTTTGTAAAGTGCCAGTTAAACCTGCTTGGCAGAAACCCCCCCGGAATGCCAAGGTTAGGAGGGGCTGCCATGGTGCCCGCACGTGGATACTGCTGCTTCTGAGCGCTCCGCTTGCTGCGGCTGCTCCGTAACTACCGGGTCTGGGATTTCCTCTTGGAGCATGGGCTTGAAACTCCTCTTTTGAGTCATGGTCGGATTTTCTTATCGTGGAAGCTGCTCTGTCAAATAACTGATTCTCTGTAAGTTGAGTCATCCAGCTGCATTCCATCTAAAAACACGGGGATGAGCAATGCCGCGGGTTTTCTTTCACAGCGTTAGTGAAATCCCATAGAGATCAGTAGATCTCGGGTTCGGGAGAACTGCGGGTCCTGCATCCGAGTCGGAACGGGGGAGGGACCTGTTCCCCCGTGGAGCAGTGTCTGCAGTGCAGAGCACCCCGCTTGTGGCCGTTGCTCGCCCCGG